TAATTTCCGAAACAAAAAGAGACGTTCGTATAGTGCTAACATAGATAATACTTATACGATATGCATGACAGTATACTAAGACTGGTCACATGTAAACTAACTATTCTTAAATATAAATAAATATAAATATTAAGTATATATAACTAGTATTTACGTGATAGATCTACATGTGCCTAACCTATAGATATATGGCTTAGGAAATATACATAGTTATACTCATATATACCACGAAAATAGATAACCCCTACACCACATGTGTTCGCAGGTCATTTCTTAATCTATTTCAACAAGATGTTTTATAGGTCGCCACACCGTGCGGACAAACATGTACTCTGTTTTATAACAAATTTCGTCCAATTATTCTATTGTGCACGCATTGTGAAAGTATCGTCATTACAAGTGTATGATTGAAATATAAGTCCTGACAACAACTGAACTGGAATGTAATGAAAAGAGCACTTACACCTGTTTTACCCATTTACATAATGACTGACGTATGGTTTTAGAATTTACATCTGTCCTATCACTTTTCTTACTTATCATTCTTAATAGACGTTTTTTATCAAGTACTTTGTTACTTTGTTAAGGTAAATAACAGCACATCATTATTATCATCTTTATTTATTTATTTTTGTTTTTGTTTTTATTTCAACTAATCTTTTTACATTCCTTATGAAATAAGCTTAGATCACCTATTAATATGTGTCCTTATTAACATGTTCGATTCTCCCAGAGCGGACGTGAAAATTGTATATGATGACCTGCTCGTCCACGTGGGTCTTCCGCAGGTACTCCGGTTTCCACCAACAATAGGACACTCCGCACGCCTCTAACCATCTAATAGCTTTGTAGGCAGATTATATATTTTTATCAAAATAAGCCAATGGCTTTAATATGTCAAATGAACAAAATTAATATCCATCATTTCTGGCGAATATGCTTAGATATTAATCATTGATATGTTTAAAAGCAAGCGCCCGGGACGTTGCTAACAGTACGTGACCATTGCAATGGTACCCTATACAGGACGCTGATATATTCATCTGTTACATGTTTACATGCGTTTTAACATAAACTGTTTTAACTCATTTAACTCCATCAAGGCTACATTTATGATTAAGAGTACTTCACTATGAACGTTTTCAAGCTTTTGGTGCCATATTTTATTGCAATCATTTGTGAATTAAACCATGGCGCATACTCAATGAAACACTTAGGCGAGAGGCAGAATTTTGTTCGTGACCTCAACCAAGGAAAGAATAAAATGTTTGATGAAAGACTTGCTGATGCCATCGAAAACATCAAAAGAAAATGTTCTGTCGTCCAGACGGAGCCACTGTCAGCACAGGAATGTACAAAAGGTAATATTATCATAGGTTCAGCGATTGTGTCCTAAAGAAAAGTGAACAATTATCTCATGGCTATTTAAGTATATACGGCATCAATTTATAAGTGAAACTAGTATTACAAAGAACTAGGTAATTGTATGAGCTATATATGGCTTTAGAACTGCTGGTTCAGCCAATCAGTTCACTTATCACACAGACTAATGTAAAGTGACATTTCTATATGTTGGTATTATAAAGGTATTATTTCTAAAGTGCACTTATACAGTTGTGGTATCACACAACGTAACAAGATGTGCGATTTGCGCACGATGCAGAAAAACTGGACCAGCTTTAGTGTAAGGACACTCATTATATATACATTATATATGTAAACATTAAATGGACATCTCCTTTTGTCTCGGCAATGAATCTCTTACCGCTACAAAGGTCATTTTATTTTCATTACTTCTATATTATTGTAAACAAAATAATATACTAAATACTAGGTAAATCTTATGTGTTGTGTTTATAACCAATTAGTTGTAATATTCGTGTGATCGTTATTTTGTTATAACTACACATGTCTTCCGTTTAATGTTTATTCCGTAATACTAGTCAACTATATTTACTAAACTGCACAAAATGTGCAATTTTATCTAGCAGTCGTGCTCACGATACTTTAACACATATATACTCGTGCTTTACATTCTAGAATCATATTGAACAGTATTGTAGTATATCCATTTTTATGTCGTTAATTTGATACCTGCTTTAAATGTATGAAAAATAATATGTTTGTCTACTCGTGATTTTGCTGGATTGTTTAGTATTGAACAATGGATACAGATGTTGAAGAGATCAGCGGAAAAGAAGAAATATAACATATATTTTGTACGGTTTAATAAGCCAACACGAGAAAGGATTTAATTTTATTGCCGTGCCTATAATTTTTAAAACAAATCCCTTTTTAAATACAAATATGTTGGAATAACAGAGAATTGCCAATGTTTTCACTTTGATATTAGGATCTCAAAATCGTAGTCACCAAAAAGTTTTTTTGAAGAGTGAGAAAGATGCTTCAGTCTAAAACTAAACAATGGCATGATTTCAACTGTCTCTGCTTGGCAACATATGAGTAGATACTTGGAATGATCAACAAAGGGAGCCGCCTGACTTTTTATAATTTTCATAATTTGTGTTTTTTATAATGAATTATACTTTTAATAGGAACATAAGGACCAGGCAAACGTTGACTTTATTCATGGATTGATGACGTCAACTGTATTGTCACATGTGACGTATTAAACATACTACATGTACACTGGAAAGTGGTATAAAGATAATTGTTGAGCGTTGATATTTTTATCAACTTATCGTCTTATTTGTTCTAACAGAATGTTGTCGGGTGAATATAGCTAATATCTTGATTTTGTCACCGGGCTGTTGATTATGCAATGTCATGCGGATTCTTGCTTTAATTATCTTTGTATTTCTGTTCGAAACGGTCCCTCACACGTGTTTAGTCAATCAAATCGCTCCCTTCAACCATTGATGACGTAGAGGTTCCGCCTACTTTCCATTCTAGTGTTTAATAGATGCGGGTCAAGATGTAGGCTACACTGCATGGATAATCTGTCTAAATTGTAGAGTATATTGATTATTCGTGTAATACCTGAAATTCTTAACGTCTTTCTCTGAATGGTAAAGGTAGTTGTTTACAAAAGTAGATCGATAAAACGACGGACATCGTGGAGAGGCATTGGCATGTGACAATAGATTCCTCAGAAGTTATCTTTCAAGTGGAGATAGGTATAATTGTATCTTTGATATGTTCATACAATGGAAGACTTCACCAAACTGTATGCTTAATTATTTGAATTTCACTATTGTGAACTTTCTATTTCTGGATAGCACTATACCTGCATCCCAAACCCATGATATTTACATGTCACAGTTAATTCAATATTCAAAGGCCTGTTCCAATTATCACGATTTTGTTTTTGCTTTGATCAAGACGTCTTCAACGGACGGACAATCTCGTAACACAGGTTTTTAAAAGATTCAGATTGATGAAAACTATGGGGAAGGTTTATGGTCCACATAGTGACCCAGTCGAGAAATATACAATCTCTTTTGTTGTTGTGAAGCTTTTAAGTTTCCCTGTTGGTTCCGTGGTTGTATACATCGCTATCATTTGAGAATGTGACATTACTTACTTGGATTGACATAGGTTTACATGACGGGAGTCGTCGATGAAGCAGAAAACAGTTACTCTTCCGTAATATTTGGTCTTAATCTCCTTTCACTTGTTCATCAGTCTCTTTGTAATTTTATTCACATTCTGTCTTAGTTACCTGAAATTTTAAAACATTCACAGAAATGGGGGAACTGAAAATAGTTTTTCTTTTCTTATAATAACAATACGGTAAAATATTACATATGACTATTATCTGCACGTTCCTCAATTTTGACGTCATCGTGTTTACAGTGCTAAGTCAAATGCACCAACCGATCACTTCACACTTAACCGTTGACAACAATAACTATAAACTATTCTGTTCGTTTTTGTTTTTTTCTGGCATAAGATGATTTGAAAAAAAAATATTTTTCCGTAAACATGATCAGTGTAAACAGATATTTTACACATGTATTCTTATCCTAACGCTTTTTACTATTTTATTTACAAATATCAAACAAACAATCTTAGTGAGTTAGTAATGAATGAAGAATATTGAATAGAAAAGTTGTTTTTTCTGATTCATGACTTTGTGTACTAGCATTATAGTGGCCGAATATCGACAGGAGAGCCCAAGTAACGTAGCAAGTCTATCAGCCTCGTTTTCGTCCACTCAAAATGCATATTAAGAAGAATCCTTTATTGCTTGGTGTATCTCGTAGGTCAGACACGTAGGTGTAGGGGAGGGGTGGAGTCTCGTGATTTTCTACTATCATTACGTCATATTAGTTGGGAAATAATGTTCTTTGTCCTTTAATCGTGTCTATATAAGAGCAATAAGTGACTTTACCCCAAAAAATTGTAAGCTTTCATATATTTTGTTAAATTAGCATCACGAATGTTTGTAAAAATAAAAATAAAAAAGTATATCAAAAAGAAAAAGAAACTTGTTATCTCCTTTTAAGACAAGAACATTACAAAACGACATTGTTATTATTGAATATGAAAAAACCCATTATCAATATTTACTTCCTAATAATTCGATATGGAATAAAACGCTTGATTGAGCAGTTGAATGCGATAGTAAAACTATATCCTCTCCGTCCACAAATTGATCGTGCGTATACCTCGCCTAAATGAAAATTGTAAATTACGTCGAAACCTCAAGAAGACACGTTCTAAAATTTACTTCGAGTAGAGGAAGATGAATCACGTTATTTATTCGGCGTTTGAATGCTACTCGCAGCAAGAATCCTGAGCATGGGAATATATCTCAGAAGTTATAAATAAACATGTCTCTATATGAACGTACTATTTGTGAAAGGCATCGATCATCGCAGATTTTTGATCGATTATTGATTCTTATTAGATTGATGATTCTTCGTTTTAATTCTTTCATTCGACACGTTAATTTACGTGAAATCAGAGTTTTATTCCTGTTAAATCATCGAGTACAATAACTTCATTTCACATCTTTACATTAGGAAGAGAAGGACATGGCTTTACTGAGAAGGTCAAGTGTCCTTATACGTTCTGTCAGCACGTCAGCTACAGATGTGACAACCGATGCCAGAGACAGGAAACAGAAGACAACAACTGTGGTAGGTGTGAAAGATGATTATTTCACTGTGATGAAAACATAAATTATACTTTAAAATATTTCGATTTATTTCAATTACATTAACATGAAAATAATCAGACATCCAAAAATAGACAAACATCACGTCATGTGTACATTATCAGTTGTCTTCTCGCTATATACGGTAATTGACGCATATTATTTCTAATGGAGACGTACTGCTTACTAGGTTGAATATCAAACTTTTTGATATTAAGTGTATGTCTGTAGTGTACAGGGTTGATACTGTGTTGTATATTTAAAACAGATCATCGGTATCGTCGTCGATCATTGATTTTGTATGCAAGTACATTAAATCGTCCTTGTTTCAGGACTATACAATTGTGCAGGAATACATCACTGCCCTAACGGACACACCATTCCTCTACAACAAGTATGTGACAATAAAATCCAATGTCCAGATTCCGATGACGAGTCTGCATGTGTCCATCCGTGCCAACCAATTTGTATGTGTATTGGTCTCACAGTCAACTTCAGCGACCCTTTCTTGGCGACTGCACGCTTCCCTTCCAAAACCACGTGGAACCATTTACTATCTCCGGAATTACAACAACTATCGAAGATTACTTATTTAGTCATTAAAGATAAATACAATGTGTACAAAACATTCAGCAAAGGTTTACAAAGCCTCAGGTCATTAAATCTATCTAATAACGGCATTGTGTTACTTCCTGAAGGCATGTTCGGTGACATGCCAAGTATTGTACATCTAGATTTATCATATAATAAGATAAATCAGTTATCAATAGATACATTTCATGGTCTCACTGATCTTGTGTATTTGAACTTATCTAGTAATCATATATCAGTTCTACCTGATTCTGTGTTTAGTGGTCTCCCTGTTCTTGAACATTTGGACTTATCTAGAAATCAGATATCAGTTCTACCAGACTCTGTGTTTAGCGGTCTCCCTGATCTTATGTATTTGGACTTATCTAACAATCAGATATCAGTTCTACTTGATAACCTGTTTAATGAGCTTCAATACCTTATGTACCTGTCCCTCGGAAACGATCGGATACTGTCCCTTTCTGACTATTCATTTACTGGTTTTTTTAATATAAGGATAATTATACTTAACGGAAATTTCTTATCTGTTCTACCTATGTTACCTCCTTCTGTTGAAATGCTCGATATATCATACAATAATTTTGCAACTTTGCCTGCGGGTACATTCACTAATTCTAGTATTTTATATACTTTGAATATCATTGGTAACAAACTGGAAGTTAAGCAACACATGTTTGAAGGTTTAGACAATCTGACTGTTTTGCTGACAGACACTCCTTTTATGTGTTGTGTTAAACCTAAGTCGGTTCCTGACGATAAGTGTCTAAAGGATCCATCTAAATTAATGCATTGCTGGTTTGAAGAAGCAGCCTGCAAATCAGAAGGAGATGTGATATCCTCGTGTAAAAATTTGATAGGTTCAGATTTACTTAGAGTTTTTCTCTGGATTATTGGCTTTTGCTCTTTAATTGGGAATTTTACTGTCATGTTTTACCGACTTCTTATCGATAGAGATAATATTACAACAAGTTATTCGATTTTTGTATTGAATTTAAGTATGTCTGATTTTCTCATGAGTATCTATCTCATGATTATAGGATCATTTGATATACATTATCGAGATGTATATGCGTGGAATGATCAGGATTGGAGAAACAATATTGTATGTACCATAGCTGGAATCCTGTCGAATATATCTAGTGAAATGTCGACGTTTCTGATTCTTATGGTGACAATAGACAGAGTAATTGTCATAGTATTTCCTATGTCTCGTCTTTCTCGGCGAAATATATCCGGGAAGCAAGCATGCATCATCTCATTTTTCCTGTGGTTGGTTGCTATCACAATCGCTGTCATCCCTGTTGTTTCTATGCAATTCTACTTCAAGGGAGAATATTATTCTCAGTCAGGAGTGTGTCTTGCCTTACCACTGACACGTGACGAACAACCTGGTTCGGGTTATTCTTTTGCAGTGTTTGTTTGCCTGAACAGTTTCATTTTCGTTATCATCGCCATAGGCCAACTCTGCATGTTTAAAAGCCTTGTAACAAGTGGTGGGGGTCGGGTAGCTTCATCACAGACTCGACAACGAGACCTGACGGTAGCTAAAACCCTCTTCTTGGTGGTGGCGACAGACTTTTGCTGCTGGTTTCCTATTGGAGTCATGGGTAAATAACTTATCTTATCGCATTACGAAATGTAGAACAAAGCTTTGAATTATAACGTTCTCAATTGAGTTTCTTTCCAGCAATAAACCAAACGTCATTGACGACGACCATCAGGTCACTTTTATAAGAATTTAGATATATTGTTATATACACACATTCCGACAAAAGTGCATCTGTATAAAGTAACCAGAAATAACACACATAAACAAATGGTCATATAAGAGTTTGAGTGACTCGCGGAAGTCGTGAAAGACGATGGTTCCGTAAGTACGAAAACTAAAGATTTCATGCTTAGATCAGGAATTACCACATATAATTAATATCATTAATTGATAATAAAACTTCTATTCGATGTATACCATCAGTTGTCCTAATGTAGGATGAATACTCAAGATAAGTGTCAAACAATACTATTTTTTCAGGTGTGATGTCAAAAAGTGGATACGAGATTCCGAATGATGCCTATGCCTGGGTAATGGTATTTGTGCTGCCAGTCAATGCCGCCATCAACCCTTTCTTATACACGGCATCAGCAATTTGGAGGAAGCGTCATAGAGTACGTTGATTACCACGTGTGCATGTGTGATAGCCGTGAAGACTTTTGTCCGTACAAAAGATTATTGATAATAAGATAGGTCTTGACAACTGATAAACGAACTATGATAATTAAAAAGAATATTTGATGATTTCATAATGTTAGATATTATCAGTATCATCAATTTTCGTCATCGTTTATTCCAAATTTGTTAATTATTGGGTATCTCGCCTGAGCTGTCAGTTTTCAAATTGATATAACGGGATCAAAAGGATATTTGTGTTTGCCAAACAAGATTTTTACACTTGCTTTTATTTGTTTCAACCAGATAATGATTCGCTTTCCTAGACAAGAATTTTATACCATTAAAACCTATCTAAAGGACCAAATTGTTGTCATGTTTTCCCTAAAACATTTGGGGGAAAAAGCACTTTTTTTCATCACTGTTGGAAGTAGTTCAAGAAGCTAAACATTAATGCACACGTTTTTATGACGTCAAGATTGTCTATCGTTTAGACGTAAATGCAAAACAAGTCAAACCTTCATCCAAAAATGTTGTACTGATTCTTACAAAAAAACAACGTAACACTCTGTTTAAAATCCTTCCTGTGTTGTTGTGTAATAATTAATTCGACAACACACAGATGTTATTTTAATTCGTAAGATGAATTTCTTCCTTATGTCGATTCCACTAGTTTCAAGGATCAACAGTCTAAACACAAAACCGTGACACAAATCAACATTTAATTAGAGTGTCTTTGATCAACATGTCTGCAAGAATCATTCCCTCATTCTATGCTAAATACTTTCTACAAAACTTCCTTTTTTAACAATTGTCATCAGGGTAGTTATCAATGGCATTATCATTCCGAGTTAAGCTGTAATAAGTATTTATAAATAACAGTATATTAGGGCACGGTGACGCACGATACAATAATTGGGGGTATTAATTAGAACATCAAATGAATGAATGATGTATTCAAGTATTCAACAGTTTCCTATAAAAGTAAGAAAGCGGATTAAAAAACAAAACAGAGAATAAACACTTGATGTATTCTAAATAAAAAGAAAATGCCAACATGCCATCATCATAATTCAAAGTCAACTAGAAATGATGAGCCAACAATTTGACGCAGTTTTCACCTATATTCGACCTCTTACCCTAAGTTGAATTATTTCCACAAACGTGATGACCAACCACTCAAGTGATTTATATAACACCCAGACTCTAGACTGTGCAATTTCAGATGATGGATTTGCGCTAAACGATTCTAAATGTGACCCTTTCTGAAAACCAGAAGTTGACCTTTGACATTTTATTTGTTCACAACCATCATTATTATTTGATTGCAATATACAACTGACCAAATACCATCATCTTGTACCTTTTGGTTATTGAAAATAAACCATTGAGATTTTACAAACTTGATCCATGTGACCTTGAAATTAAAGTCATTCATATTAGTCAACCTGATATCTAATGACCTGGACATCTAACATGTGAAATATCAACATTTTAGACAATGAGTATCTTGAGAAGTTCTTCAATATTTGATAACATAAAAAACACTTTTGAATATTGACCTAAATAGAAGAATTGAAGTTGACCAAGCACAATGTTTTTCGTACTATTGTTGATAGCAATTGGTCGCAGTATGCAACTGAACAAATAACGCCACATTGTTTCTCTTTGTTATTGATAAGAATCCATTTCATGATTTGTGACTTGGCAGGGGGGAGGAAAATTATTCATGTTATCAAGTTTCATACACAAATACATGGACGTTTTACTTATCAAATACCATATCCTGTAGTTCGTGAGAAGTTTTTGTTATTCAAAATTGCATTTCTGAATGTTAACCAAAGTTGATATTGCACTATTCGTTTCCTTATTACTATCGATGTCCATTGGTCTCTATATGCATCGGACCAAATATCACATTTATATTTATAAACTTAAAAACCGATGACCTGAGCTTCTTATATATCAAATATGAAGACTCTAGTCTCTGTAGATTATTATCCACTCTAGCATGTTCATCAATGGCTGTGCCATGTGTCGGAAGTTCTAGGTGAATAATAAATATGTTTTTCTGTTCTTTATTATTTTACAAAACATTTTTACAGCTGAATTCAACATGACGTGTCGTTATGAAGTTTATAGCAATTTAGATAAAAACGGATATGACTTCATGGTGGCCATTTTGTTTGTTTTTTTTTAATTAAAATGTACTTAGAAATGAATATACATATAGTATCAAAACTTCCTACGCACATAGTCCGGAGATCATGCGCGCACACGCACACAATACAATCAATCAGGTTTTTTAATTCGACATTTTTTTTAAATAACGCTTGACCTGCATTTATTAGTCTGATCGTATATAGTTTCACACCTCAGACTGTGTTGAGTAGTGTTGCCTCGGGTAGCAAACGTTTACCTGTATACGGGTACATACGTGACAGGTCCTGATCTTTACAAACTGGGTCGCCTGGCTTACAGACACAACACTTAACATTTCCTTGAGCAGATATTTTTGTTTACAATATGAATGAAAAAATGAGAGTAAAATAGAAGAAATGAAAATAAAGTTTCCTTGCTGATCGGTGAAAGATTTTAGATGATTTATCTGCTGTGACGTAAAGAGACGTCAATTTAATGTTTACATGTATAATGTATATATAATGTGTATCCGTAAACAACAAAAACTAAAGCGACTATAATGTTAAAGAATGTAAACAGTGTGGTCTTGATCAAATTCATACATTACTGCTCGTAGCCCTGATGCTGCGCATGCGTATAAGCCTAGAAAGAAGCAATATGTCGAACGCAAATACGAAAAGGCGATAAGGACCTAAAAGTTACCTTACAGAAAGTGACAAAAAGCGTAAGATGATGGAGTCAGACCAGAAAAGAGGACAGGTAAGAATTCATATAAGACAGGAGATCGATAGATGGCGAAAGATGAAGGGTGATCTTGGACTGAATACGGATTCGGAATTTGCGAAGCTGCTGCTAGACTGCTTAGCTTAACGTGAGCCATATAATTATAACATATCCGCCTGTCGTTGATTATAATCCAATATCCAGTGTTTGACGCGTGAATATGTTATGAACAACACTACTATAAGTGTTATCTGATAAATATTAAATGAAAAAGTTGTGTTTTTCGCTTGAATTTGCTATCGACAACGTGTTTGTTGTTGACTGCAAAGTGGGGCCCAATTGGGGGTATTCGTTGTAAGTGTAAAAATATGACGGTACTTGTGTTGCTGTAAGTATAAAGACCGTGATAATACATATAACCTTCATAATAAACACATAAACACATGTTGAATGGTAAACAATATTAATGTGTACCGACAAAGCATAAATTCCTGTGCATTTATGCACAATGAGTTTTTTTCTATTCTGATTGTAATTACCCCCTTTGGAGTCCCACTAGTATAGCGCCCGCGATTGACATAGATAATTATCGCACGAAGAGCCAAAACAAAACGAATTACTAAGATTGGTTGTTAAAAATTATATATCATAACACTATAGAATCATTTACTGTAAACAAGAATGAACAGAAAGGCGCAAAAGCAAGTGTCATACATAAGACATTTGCGTGCGTTACACTTTCCTCATAATCCTTTTTTTCCCTTTCCGACGGAAGTAAATGAATTCGTCACGTGACAAGCCATGTGACCCACTTTACCAATGAATTGAAGGTCCGACGCGGAAAATATGCACACACAAAAAAACCAAAAATTGACGTTTTAGGTGCGTGTAGCTTTTCATGTTGTGCGCAGCACCAGTGTACTGGCAATTAAATATTTTATTTATTACATTTTCACAGGCAACATCATGATTTGTAAATATAAAACAATTAAAAAAAAAAATATACATATGTGACCCACTCGGCTTTCTTCATAATAAACCGAGCGTGAACATGTTTATAAACAACAGTCAAGATAAACAATGTTCCGACGCGGAAAATATGCACACAAAAAAAAACAACAAAAATTGACGTTTTAGGCGCGTGTATCGCTTTATTATGGATATATTTTATCATTCATAAGCTGAATTCTCCATTTCCCGATGTTGTATGCGCAGCACCAGTGAACGTATTGGGGATTATATCATTTCTCACCGCTAGGTGGCGTTGATATAGCCATAGGATATAAATACTCGAAAACCAGCAAGTTGCGGGAGAACTGTTTAGTTTAGTTTATTACCAGTGCAGGATCGTTACGATCCTCTATACCGGTGTCAGTGATATAATGATAACGATTATAATTATTCTCATTTGAGACGTCAGATCCAGGAACTACAGAATTTCTGCTTTATAATTATAAACCAGTTCTTGATTTGCCAAGTGTTCATCTAATCTATTTTTGAAAGAGTTAACGGTTGATGCCGATACAATATACTCCGGAAGATTATTCCATATTTTGACCACACGCAAAACAAAAGAATGTTTCCTGATGTCAAGTTTACAGTAGCGCATGTAAAGTTTTTTGGAGTGACCCCTTTGTCGATCCACAATTTAAGGAAATCAGCAGCGTTACTATCGCAAAAATTGTTCGTAATTTTGAAGACTTTAATCATATCCCCATGAATCCTCCTGAATGCCAATGTTGGTAATTTTAGGCGTTTCAGTGTTTCCGAATAAGTTAGTTCCTTAAATCCTGATAATTGTTTTGTTGCTATCCGTTGCACTGCCTCGATCATGTCTATATGTTTGACTTTATATGGATGCCATACAGTAAAAGAATGTTCCAGATGAACCCTTACTATTGTTTTGTACAGTAATGGGAAGTTATGTCCATTGAGAAATTGAAACGTTCTCATTATTATTGCAAACATAGAGTTTGCTTTTTTGACCTGTGTACTTATGTGTTCATCAAATGATAAAGAATTGTCTACAATTACTCCTATATCTTTTTCTTGATAGACTTCCTTTAATTCTTCGTTGTTTAAATAATATTTTCTGTCTCCACTTTGCCTGCCAATGCGCAAAAATTTACATTTTTTAGGATGA